TTGAATTTTTTCTTCAGTTCCCTCAGTTTGAGAAATGTTGACTGTGTTCTTCCCTTTTGATTTTCTAACTCCAGGTCTTTGCACATTTCATTATAATATTTGACTTTGTCTTCTTGAGTTGACCTTTGAAATTTTCTGTTCAGCTATTGTACCTCTTCAATTCTTACATTTGCCTTAGGGTTTCTATACTGGAGAGCAAGTTTCAAATTCTCTTCTTACATCCATTTTGGTCTTTTCCTTCTTTCTTGTCTTCTTAATGGTTTTTTGCTTTCTTCTTGTATAGTGTTCTTGATGTCATCCCACAATTCTTTTGGTCTGCTGTCTTTAGTGTCTAATGCATAAATCTGTTCAATTTTGAACATTTCCAATTTTGCTAGATTTATAGTTCATACATTCCATGTTCTGATTATTAATGGACGTTTACAGCTGTTTCTCTTCATTTTGAGTTGTGCCCGATCAGCAAACAAAGCTCCATTACTCAATTAGCATCATCATGGTCAACCATACTTTGAGGAGGCAATGCTTCCCCAGTCTTATTTTGAGTGCCTTAAACCCTTAAAAGGGTCTCATCTTTTGGCACTATATATAGCAATATTCTGGTGTTCTTCATCATGTTTCAGTATTCAATAATCTGGTGCTGACAGTGTTCCACTGCTATTCATAAGGTTTTTAATGACTAAATATTTGGAAGCAGTCAGTCTATCCTTCTTCCTATCCTGTCGTCATCTGGAAGGTCAGCAGAAACCTGACCACTGTTGGTGACCCTGCTGGTATTTGAAATACTCATAGTATAGTTTATGGAATCACAACAACACAAAAGCTACCACAGTATGACAAACAGACAGACAAGTAAAGAATGGTGTTAGGAGGCACCAGGAGTGGCTCAGAATAGCTAAAGTATAAAGGATATATTATAAATGTGATACAGAAGATAAAAGTCAAAAGGAAGGCTGCAAGTACATTGCAGAAGGCCTTTGTGTATTTCTCACAGGGATTTTGATTTTATCCTACAGGCAATAAAACATACTCAAGTAATTTTTAACTGGACAGCATCATGGTTGCACCTTAGTTTTTTTTTTTTTTTTTTTTTAATCACTTGTAGGTTCATTGAAGATGAAATTACTAGAAAGTGAAAATGTTACCTGAACGAAACCTATATGCTTCTGATTTTTATCTAGCCATGGGATATGATACAGTGCTTCTTCAAAAGTAAGAGACTTGATAGTTGGTTCAAAGTCAAGCATCTCTCTTTTTTTGGCCATGATTAACTAAAATCACAAAATTTAAGAAAGGAAATGAATCAAACTGTTGTTCATAGAACATTTAAAACAATTATGACCTTGTATAATTTCCCATTCTTGCTTTTCTGAGATTTTTGCTCTTACATGGAAAATAACCTCTCCTCTCTTACAGCATTTATTGTTTACCTCCTTATGTTACCATTTTTCTTAAGTCATAGATTACACTTCTTTTGATTTCTATTATTATTATTATTTTTACTTTTTATTGAGAATTGAGTGAAGGTTTACAGAGTAAACCTTTACAGAGTAGATCATCAGTTTTGCATTCAGTAAAACTTACATTTGACTTCATTACATGGTTGCAATCCCCTCCGTGTACCTATTTACCACTATTCACTTTAGATCTTGCATTCCTCTGTGTCTCCTGCTATGTTCATCTTTCCTCTGCTAACCTCCCTCTTGTTGTATACTGCATTCTCTGTCATCCATGTTAATATGAGTCTACCCTATAGCCCATGAATAATTTTTCCCTATACTTCTTCCACCCCATCCCCTATAGCCATCGTAGATAGCTTCTTTTATCAAGAAAACCATTTAAAACAACAAACAAACAAACAAAAAAACAACAACAAAAACACCTTTACAACATTGGTTTCATACAATGTTTGTCCTTTTGTGATTGACTAATTTCATTCAGCATAACGTCCTGCTTGTTCAACCATGTTTGAGATGTTTCCCAGACTCATCATTATTCTTCAACATTTTGTAGTATTCCATTATGTGTATG